CAGAAAGCATTGAGTGTCTACTCTCTGTCAGGCCTTTTATTTTATGCTTCAATTCCTAAAACAACTTTCAGCTCAGTGTTATTGTCCCCATTTCCTAGATGAGGATATTGAGGACAACAAACTGGTAAGGAACATGTATGAAGTTCAATTAAGTGGCAATGCCGGGATTCCAGCCGGGTTTCTCCTCAGCTACACTATTTCTCCTTTCATGATCATGGTGCAATCTGCAGTGACCTTGACTAGTTATATAAAAAATGAGCTAATAATGTTAACCTCAACCTATATTTACACATGTTAGGACTATATAGCCAGCAAAAGTTTACTCCATTCTGTAAGTTTTACTGGACTCCAGCCCTGGGTAGGGTAAGGTTTTTACTGCTTCCTCATTTATTAAAAATGCAAAAGTTGTACAATATATGGGCTGGCAATTACAGGGTTTAAAATGAAAATTCATTTATATTTTTCAGTTTTGTAGTAGTTTAATTGAGCATTAAAGATTTTTTTTTAAAGATGACTCAAGGAGACAGGAAGGGGTGAAAAATTCAAAACAGACCCTAGAAGAGTTAGAGAAATGATTTGGCCCTGTTTCTACTGCAACTGTCCCTTAAGAAAAACACTAAAGACCAGGTGAGTTGTTAGCTGAACAAAAGATTTATCTACTAAATAGTAGCCTTTTGGAGGGAAATAGAATGAAAGAAAAGGGAATGGGGGAGGGAGGGATTGTGTTCATTTCTCTTTGGGGACTTTGAGAAAGAACCCTTGTTTCCAAAGCCAAAGCAATATTTATTTACCCATGCAAGAGAGGCAATGAAGCCAAATACTGTGCTGGCTTTGTAGAATGCATTGTGCTGCAGGAAGACCTTTTCTCCTTCCAATAAAGAAAAACAGCCAGCCCTGATTGATGTGGCTCAGTGGGTTGGGCATCCCACACACTGAAAGGTCACAGTTTTGATTCTGGATCAGGGAACATGCCTGGGTTGCAGGACAGGTCCTGGGTTGGGGGTGTGTGAGAGGCAACCAATTGATGTTTTGCTCCCTCTCTTTCTCCCTCCCTCCCCCGCTCTCTAAAAATACATAAATAAAATACCTTTTAAAAAGCAAAAAAAAAAAAAAAATAGGAAAGAAGAAAAACAGCCAGTATTAGGACCAGTAATAATAACAGCAGCTGACAATTACTAGACAGCAACTGAGGACCAGACACTGTGCTAAGTGATTTACACCTATTATCTAATTTAATTCTCACAACTTCATGAGCAAGTAGTGTTAATATGCACCCCATTTTACAGGTATGAAAGCAGAGCACAGAAATGTTTATGTCCAAGGCCATACAGCTAGTAAGTAAGTAAACAGGAGAGCAGGGATTCACATTTAGATCTGTCTCTCTCTTGAGTCTTGCTCACCCTAAAAAACCTGGAGGCAAAACAGAAGTCTCTGGCCACACATCATTGTGGCTCCTCAACAACCTTCCATCATTGATGGAAGAAGCAGCACAACCCAACAGACATCAGATATCAGGACCATCCCAAGTGGTGGATGCAGATTATCTGATGCCGGACAGAAGACAGCTCATCTTTGGGCAACTCTCAGAATTGGCCACAGTTTGACTGATGGACCAGTACTTTCCAAACGCCTGCCTCTCTTGGCCCTCCCTACCCCCAGACTGCTTTGTTAATCCCTGTCAATTCTCACCTCCCTCCCCAAAGGCTGAATCCCACTCAGGATGGTCCAGATGCACCAGCAACCAGGACACCAGAGCCAGAGAATCCTGTATTAGCTTAACAATGTCCATGTTTGCCCTGGGCAGGATAGAAGAAGGGAGCAAATCACTGCTTTGTTTGCCTGGTACTGTCACTGAAGTTGTCCTTTGAGGGGAAAAACCCATGATGTCACCATGAGACACTGCCTTTAGCCCTGAATAGAACTCAGGGTGACATTTCTAGAAAAAACAGAAAAGTCTCTGCCATTTCTGGAAACCAACAATCAGAACACCTGGAGACAAAGGTGAAGAAGCTCCTTGGAAAGGAGTCCCAGGAATTCTACCACAGCTGCTCCTTACTCCCCTGTTCTATTCATCTTGAGATTGAGGGCACGGCTAGCTGCCCCTTGGGCCAAACCCTCAAAGCAGGCACTTTCATGAGCTCAAGGCTTCAGGTGAAGATTTTATTCCAGTTGAAGTTTGCATTCTGTCCTTGAAACTCATAAACCCATCCCTCAGGATCTGTGGGCACCACTTGGTATGCTGCAGGGATAAAGAAAACTTGTTCTGGCCCCAAGGACAGTTGTGAAAAGGTAGGGGCTAGGCAGTGGAAGAGTACGGACTGGACAACTTGATAGATCTTTCATGGATGACATTTTACCACTATGCAAATTACTCTCCGTACACTTCACACCTACCACATCCTCTGATAGGCATACTGCATAGATGCCTCTTGTTTCCAGGGCAACCTCACCTGGGGTGGGGGCATTGATACAGCCAGCAAGGAGGGGGTGTGAAGGGGGAATCTAGTGAGGGGAAATTTGTGGGTCAAAGCATCAGAGCTTTCCCTGAAAATAACCCTGAGATGACAGTATCCCTGGTCTTTCAGTTGCCTTAAATAACCTAGCCACAGCACAACCAATCTTCTCTCACAAGGTATCCATCAGATAAGATTCATTTGTTTGGAATGTTTCTAAGTCACAATTGTGAAACTTGAAACTACAACACCCACCATTGCCTGCTCTTTTTAGGGACACTATATATTTTTTTCTAAAGATTTATTTACTTTTAGAGAGAAAGAGAGAAACATCAATCAGTTGCCTCTTGCATGCTCCTAACCAGGGACCTGTCCACAACCTGTCCACAAGCCAGGCATGTGCCCTGACTGGGAACTGAACCGGCAACCTTTCCATCTACAGGTTGGTGCTCCATCCACTGAGCCACACCAGCCAGGGCCCGGGAAAGAATTAAGATTAAGACAATGGAGCTGACAAAAAGTAGCTAAAGCAGAAGACTATGCACAGAGGAGCAAGGCTGGGGTTTGGCAACAACACCACAAAACGGAAACCAGATTCCTTCCGTGTTGACTTCTCTGGGGAGTGTGAAGCCAAGGGAGGTGTCCTCTGGCCAAGGTCTTTCAGAACAAAGATTCTGCCTTCACCTCAGAGAACAACCTGAATAGGGCAGAAGTGACTTAGAAAACCTTAAGGGGAGGCCTCGTCCTTGTGGCTCCTGGAGTGTCAAGAGTCAGTGAGGTTCAGTGGCTGTAAAAAGTGGAGCCCCAGACATGCAACATACTATTTTAAGTGCTCACTTCACCCTGAGCTCTCTCTGACACTGCAGCTATTATATTAGGCTAAGACCCAATACCCCAGAGGTAGGTGGACTCTGAAGTACAACAGTACTGCCCCTGGATGGGGCAGGAGGAGCTCCATGGAGGTTCTGGGGTAATAAAGGCTTTGGCTGGCAGGGTAGAAATGTGTTCATGAATTAATGGCTGGACATCTTACAATTTAGTCATTTGGAGATAAGGAGGAAGACAGACCAAAATTAAAACAACACAAAACAAAGACCAGGGTGAAAAGGACACAGAACTGAGGAGGTGCATTAAGTGGGGAAGGGCTGAACGGGAGGTTTCCCAAAGCTTATAGGGAACTTTAAAAGGCTTCATGCTTCCCAAAGACCCCTGCTCCTCTCACTATTTTTCAACTCTGCATCCCCCACCCCCTCGCCCGGCGCACCCCCCTCAGCCACACCCCCTACAAAAGGTACCCAGAGTCTGCATGGGTTTGCTTCCAGAGCAGGGACTGCAGGATTTCAAGGAAAGGCATGGAACCCAAGTGGCCCCATTATCAACCTAGGCATTTGAAGCTGGCACTATGTCCAGGAGCTTTGCAAAAAGAGGTCTTCTTATTTTTCTTTCTCTTCCTCTTCCCCTCTGGAAATAAAAGTAGTTTGTATTTCTCCTGTCCCGGTTCCTTGGTTATCTCAGAAACCCAGCTGAAAGAGCTTCTTGGAGTACAGCTCGTCCAAGTCTCAGCCCAGGAGACTATCAATGCCCGCGCCTTTTGTATGGGTTACTGCCGCTCTGTTGGCCAAGGCCAAAACCAGTTACTGGGGCTAGGGGTTCTTCCAGGTGGTTTAGAGGTCAGCGACTGGAGTCACTTAGGGCAGGCAATGAGCCCCTGGAGTCTGGGAGGGTGGGGTGGGAAGAGTTCGAGGGGTTGTCAACTTCTGGGTTCCCTCTCCTGCTGGCAGAGATCGGGGTGCTAAAAAGGAGGGTGGGAGGAGAGCCACAGGTGTGGTGACACACCAGCACTAGCCAGAGGGGTCTAGGGCTTGGAGAGGGCTCTGCATGACCACAGTCGGGGCTTAGTGCTGGAAGCAGAGCACTCTCAACGTGAGCTCGTTGTGCTCGCCAAGAAACTTCTAGGGCCCAGAAGTGCAACTAGGCATGAAGACCAAGGAGCGGGGCAGGTAATACGGACCTTACAGAGGTTAGGAAGGTAACTGGCTTCTTCCATTTCGTGCGCGAAATCAAGACTGTTCTGGGCCAGGTTTCTCCACCCACCTTTTCTTCCTTTCTTGTCCTCGACTTGGCCCCGAAGTCCGTGGCCCGCCGAGGACGCTAAGAAGCTTAAAGGCAACAGATAGGAGAGCCGCTGGGGCCCACACGGGCAACACAATCGACCCGCCTGTCTTCCCTCGCTCAAAGCCCGGTTGGGTCGGTGACCAGCCTCTTCCCTTGCTCACCTCTGCGCACACCCGCGGCGCCGCAGGACTCTGGGTCCCTCCGGCTCTCCATCCGGGAGCGGACAAGTGCGCCTACTCAGGCAGACAGCGGGGGAGGCAGAAGTTGAAAATACCTGGGGAGAAATACCTGCCCGCCCCAAAGGGAGGGCAACTGCAAGCCACGGGGACCTGGGCGCCTGGCGGAAGGCCAGTGGAGAGCGAGGGGGGCTCCGCACCGCCTTCAGCCGACCCGCTACTCCACGCGCGGCCTCGCCACGGTGCCCCGACTTACCCCAGAGCAGTGTAAGCGGCTTGGCTTTGGGGATGAGCACCAGGGAGTACACAGCGGCCAAGTGGAGCAGGCTCATCAGGACGACGTTCCTCCACACGATGTTCTGCCGCTGCTCGCCTGCGCCCGGCCTCTCCTGGCTGCAGCCGCCGGCCGCCGAGCCCTGAACCCCGGCACCGCTTTCCTCCGCAGCGTTGCAGAGGGGGACCCTCCCCGGGTCGGAGGCCCGGCCTGGCATGGCTGTGAGACGGGGGCGCCGGCGGCGGCAGCAGGCAGAGATCTGCCCGCGCGGATCTCTCTGGTGAGGGCGGGGGCTACTGCCTTTTAGGGGGGACCTCCACACCTTTCGTCCCCGCCTTCCTGGCCCTTCTCCGGTTCCTTCTCTCTTCAGGCTTTCAGCGTGGCCTAAGCATGCAAACCTAGGAGCCCGGCATCTGTTGCTGGCGTACTACACACGCTGCAGCCGGGGGCGGATCTCAGCTGTGAGGCGGAGGGAGCGAGCGCGAGGGCGGGAGCGGCGCGGAGGAGCTGGAGGAGGCCGGCCAGCGGGGAACTCGGTGGGGGAGGCAGCGCTCCGAGGGAGCCGGGAAGAAAGACCTGCAAGAGCCAATCACGATCGCTCGTGGGGCTCTCAAAGAGAAAGGTTCCCCCTGGGTCCCCGATGCGCTGTCCCTCTAGGGCCAGGGCGGGCCGCTGGACGGGCGGTGGGCAAGCCGGGGTTTGGGGTTGGGTGGGCTGTGGCTCTGGGACCGGGAGCCTGTTAAGCGGCTCATAGCACTTCTGCTGTGTTTCTCCAGTTCCAAAAAATACCTTTCTGCTTGAAAAGGTTCCTCCCTCCCTCCCCTCCCTTTCTCTCCCTCCCCTCTTTCTCTCTCCCTTTCAACTTTTGAAACTACAGGCCACCCGTGTGGAAGAACTGAAAAAATGTGCTCGGAGTCCCAACACAAGTTAAGGCCAGATCCGAGGTGGGACTCAGAAGTCCCAGGTCTGCTGGTTGGTGTGGCTTTTCGGCCTGTGGAGGGATAGAAGGCAGCCGCTCAACTCTTAATTAGGCTGCTGCGGCCAGACAGGTAGTAGTTGCTAGGTTAGTGCCTGTTAGAGGATACAGAAATTAATCGGGGGATAGCCAAAAGCTGTGCAGCTCTATTTACGGCAAATTTTTGGCTAACCATCGCGCTTGTGGACTGTCTCCTTAGCCCTCGTTGATGAAACAGTACCTTCAAGTCAGCACCATTGAGAATTGGGCTTTAGAAAAAAAAATCACACAGAACAAGAAAAATCAACCTGTGAAAAAATTGTGTCTGCTCATTCCTCTTCTAACGCAGGTAATTTAGAGCTGCCCAGAGCCGGCCTCAATTGCACAAGAATGCAGGGGGTGCCCTTTACATGTCCCGAGCAGGTGTGGCTGCACCTGCAGGTGGGTAGCAGAAGAAAACGGGCTCAAGACTGGAAGCCAAGGTGTCTGAGTGACCCTCCCTGGCTCTCTATGCACACATTTCCTTACTGGGGAAACAGGACTGATCTTTATTGTTCCTTCCAGCTTGCAAATTCTACAAGTGTGAGCTTGAGAGGGTGCCACTATGTTGACAAATAAAGCTGATTTTTTTAGATTACCCATTGCTGAGAATCCTGTCCAGGATTCCAGGGGAGGGAAAAAATTACAAAGAGCTGACTGTGTAAAAAAGCTATACATGAGCATCTTACTGTTAACAGACCTGAACAGGTCCAATTAGACGGATAAAATAATGTCTAATTTAAAACTGAAGCAAGGTATGTGTGTCTGTGGAATTGTGGCCACTTAGCAAGTGTTATGGTGGTATGTCAGATGGAGCTGAAATTATAGAATGAAAGGAAATTTGCCTAGGGACCAAATAAATGTCAGCACTGTATGAGACAATACAACACAAAACTGGAGGGAGGGTATGCATTTCATTAGTCAGCTCAATCTGGGATGTATAATAACCACTTTTTCTTCTCATGCTCCCTCTGCTCCCACACCCACCAGACCCACATATTCCCTGTGGCTCTGTAGTTCAGACTCTCCTTTTTTCCGGAGTAGACTACTTGTTTGGCTCAAAGTCTCTATGTGGGTTATTGTAATGACTCACCTCACCTTCACTAACCATTCAATCATTTGTTTGGCACTTATTAGGCACCTCCTGTGTGTCAGGGCTAGTGGACATTGGGAATACAAGGATAAGTAGTTAGGTGTCTGCCCTTAAGGAGGGAAAACAGAACAAGTGGAACTTTTTGACAATGACCTTGGAAGGACAGGAATGTCCAGTCCATTATCAGAAAAAAATAAATTCTTACTAGGAATCAAGAATACATACAAAAAGTCCAAGGGAGGCAGCAAAAAAAGTTCTTTACTTGGTCCCTGGGTACTTTATCTATTAGATAAGATACTGAGTCTTGAATCTATCTTGGATGAACATCTTACTCTCTTCCCTCCAATTGGTCAGACTGGGTTAGACCAATCCACTTCAGCTGTTTGGACTAAGGGTGGGTACAGGGATATTTGTATGTGGGTCGGGTGTGGAGATAAGTACTCTTTACGGCTTTCAAATCCTGCCTGCAAAAGGATGACTGAAGGAAAATGGTCCTTCCAGATCTCACCTCAGAGTAACACCTCTCGTTTACTGTGTGGCCATGGCATTCAAAAATGACTGAGCAAGTACAGCAACAAATCTGCATCAAACTCTACATTAAGCTTGAACATTTCTCCACAGAAACTATGCAGATGATTCAGAAGGCTGCAGCTATGGGCAACTGGTGACTGGCAGCTTCATCACAACGTGCCTGTTCATGCATCATGTCCCATGCAGTTTTTTTGAGAAACATCAAATCACCTAGGTGACTCAGCCCCCCTATAGCCCAGATTTGGCATCATGCGACTTCTGGCTTTTCCCAAAACTAAAATCACCTTTAAAAGGGAAGAGGTTTCAGACTGTCAGTGAGATTCAGGAAAATATGAGACGGCAGCTCATATTGATTAGGAGAACTGTGTGAGGTCCCAAGGTGCCTACTTTGCAGTGGACTGAAGTGTCATTGTCCTATGTACGTTTCTTGTGTCTAGTGTCTTCTTCAATAAATGTTTATTTTTCATAGTATGTGGCTGGATACCTTCTGGACAGACCTTATACTTTTGCTAATAATGACTGTTCCCTTTAGTATATTATTCCATCAGAGCTACTGTCTTTTTTCCCACCTAAGGTTGTTTTTTGTTTGTTTTTTCCCTTGAAAGACCTTAGTATATTTTCTTTCTTAGTTTCTGGCCAAGACTCCAGAAGTGGATGAGTATTCATCTTACCCCTTGATGGGGGCAAGTGGGACAGTAACCATTACCCTGTCAAATAATTATGATAACCCAAAATATGATAAGAGTCCTAATATTGGTATTTTCAAGATACAGTGGAGGCACAAAGGAGGGAGTTGTTAATTCACACTAGGGCTGGGAGAAAGGAGGTTATATCTGCATAAGGGTTTTGTTTTGTTTGTTTTTTTTTGGAAAGTCGGTTAACTTTTTAAATTGAGGTCAAATACTCATAACATGAAATTTATCATCAACCATTTTAAGTGTTCAGTAGCATCACATACATTCACATTGTTGTGGAACCAATCTCCAGAACTCTTCTTCTTGCAAAACTGAAATTCTACGCACATTAAACATCAATTCCTCATTTCTCCCTCTCTCTACTTGCTGGCAACCACCACTACACTTTCTGTTTCTGAGTTTGACTGCTCTAGATACCTCATAAAGTGAAATAATATAGTATTTGTCTTGTGTGACTAGCTTTTTCACTTGACACAGTGTCTTCAAGGTTCATCCATATTGTAGCATATACAGAATTTCCTTCCTTTTTCAAGGTCAAATAATGTTCTCCCACATGTACCATATTTTCAGACTATAAGGCACCCCCCCCACCACCAAATTTGGGAGGAATAATAGTTCCTCCCAAAATGCTGCTGTTGAGTTCTGTTTACATTTACATTGGTGAAATATTATGTTATTCATGTTATTAAATATTTTACCACATTGTTTGCTTCAATTTTTTTTCCCTATTTTCCTCCTCTAAAACCTAGGTGTGTCTTATGGTCCGAAAATACAGTGTATATCTCATTTTGCTCATCTGTTCATCTGATAATGGACACTAGATTGCTACCACCTTTTGGATGTTGTGATTACTGCTGTTGTGAACATAGGTAAACAACTATCTCTTCAAGACCTTGCTTTCAACTCTTTTGGATATGTATCCAGAAGTAGTATTGCTGGAGTTTATAGTAATTCTGTTTTCAATTTTTTTCAAACTTCTATACTGTTGTCCATTGCAGCTGTACCATTTATATTCCTACCATCAGTGCACAAGGGTTCCAACCTCCACATCCTAACACTTGTAACTTTTTTTATTATAGCCATCCTAATGGATATGAGATGATATCTCATTGTGGTTTTAACATTTCCCTAATGATTAGTGATGTTGAGCATTTTTTCATATGCTTATTGGCCATTTGTGTGTCTTCTTTGGAAAAATGTCTATTCTAGTCCTTTGCCTACTTTTTAATGTTTGTTTTGTTGTTGAGTTACAGGGATTCTTTATATATATACTCTGGATATAAGTCCCTTATTTGATAAGCGATTTGCAAGTATTTTCTCCAATTCCATAGGTTGCCTTTTCACTGTTGATTGTGTCTTGATACGTAGCTTTTAATTTTGATATAGTCCAGTTTTTTATTTTATTTATTTTTAGAGAAAGGGGAAGGGAGTAAGAGAGGGAGAGAAACACAGGACCTGGCCCACAACCCAGGCATGTGCCCTGACTGGGAACCAAACCAGCAACCTTTCACTTTGCAGGACCGGTGCCCAACCCACTGAACCACACCATTCAGGGTGACATAGTTCATTTTATCTATTTTTACTTTTGTTACCTGTGTTTGGTGTCTTATTCAAGAAATCATTGCCAAATCCAATGTCATGAAGCTTTTTCCTTATGTTTTCTTCTAATAGTTTTATAGTTTCAGCAATTACATTTAGGTCTTTGATCCATTTTGAGTTAACTTTTGTATATGGTGTAAGGTAAGGGTCGAACTTCATTCTTTTGCATGCAGATAATTGAGTTTTATAAACACCATTTGTTAATAAATGTAAAACTCCTTTCCCCATTGAATGGTCTTAACTCCTTGTTAAAGTGTATTTGGCCATATACTTGTATAGGCTTATTTCTGGACTCTATTCCATTCTACTATATCTCTATCTTTATGTTAGTATCACATTGTTTGAGTATTGTAGCTTTATAACAAGTTTTTAAATTAAGTATGTGACCTCCAACTTTTTGTTTTTCTTTTTCAAGATTATTTTGGCCATTCGGATCTACTGAAACTCCTTAAGAATGTTAAGATGGATTTTTCTATTTCTGCAAAAAATTTACCCCTGGGATTCCATTAAATCCAGTTATTACTTTGGTTAGTATTGACATCTTAACAATATTAAGTCTCCAAATCATGTACATGGATTTTTTTTTACTTGTGTCTTCTTTAAT